TATGCAACCCATCACACTGCAACTTTACTTGCTGTATGCAACCCACCACACTGCAACTTTACTTGATGTATACAACCCACCACACTGCAACTTTACTTGATGTATACTGTAAAATAGAGTTTATTTTTCAAATCCATATGGTTCTTATTTATCCTGTAATTTCTGTCTAAAACAAATAAAACTGAGGAAGTTTTATTTTTTGAGATGTATTATTCATAGATGTATTCAATATAAACATGAGGAAGATGGACTGTTTACTTTAAACAGGTTACAGTCTTGTTCAGACAGGTTTGCAGTGTTCTTTTTAGAGAGGTTTACAGTATACAGTTCCAACAGGTTTCCAATTTACATAGGGTTTGGTTTTTAGTACTTGTGAAAAGTGTTGCCTGTTTCAAAAACTGTAGATCACATTGTATTTGTGTACCACAAGCAGCTCAATTATATCAGCTATGAAATATGAGTACAAATTGAAACATACAGTGCTATAAAATATAATAATTACACAGTAACAACTGCTGTATTTGAATGTAACAGAATTTATTTTATTGAACACCAAGACACATGAGCGGGATATTCAGTAAGTTGAATCTTGTACCAAGTTTACTGTCTTGTACAAATACAATTGAAAATTGGAAAACACCTACTGAGTTCATTCATTATTTTCAAATGATATACATGCTGCATTTTCTTATTTTAAACGTATTAAGATCTGTACCTGCAGTTCAAAAAAGTAAAATCATAATTGTAGATGAACTATTATTACTGCCTTTTGTTTATCTTATTCATTAAGTCTCTTCTTTCCTTCCTTAATTTTTATTTTCTAAAACATGTTTTGTTGTTGTTGTTGTTTTTCATGGATATTTTCATTTCAACTAAAAATGGTGTAGCTTTTATGTTTACGTTTAGCTTTTAGTGTAGCTTTTATGTTTTATGTTTTATGTGCGGCAAATGAGCCACCACACTGCAATTTTTTTCAGTTAAGGCAATTCCTATGTAAAACAGCTTATAGATAGATAATGCGTTAATTCATTTCTTGCTTCCTCCATGCGTATCATATGTGAGGCATCATATACATAGGAAGAATAATTCCAGATTTCTACATGCTTATCACATATGAAGCAATATATACTGAGGAAGAATAATTCCAGATTTCTACATGCTTATCACATATGAAGCAACATATACTGAGGAAGAATAATTCCAGATTTCTACATGCTTATCACATATGAAGCAACATATACTGAGGAAGAATAATTCCAGATTTCTACATGCTTATCACATATGAAGCAACATATACTGAGGAAGAATAATTCCAGATTTCTACATGCTTATCACATATGAAGCAACATATACTGAGGAAGAATAATTCCAGATTTCTACATGCTTATCACATATGAAGCAACATATACTGAGGAAGAATAATTCCAGATTTCTACATGCTTATCACATATGAAGCAACATATACTGAGGAAGAATAATTCCAGATTTCTACATGCTTATCACATATGAAGCAACATACTGAGGAGAATAATTCCAGATTTCTACATGCTTATCACATATGAAGCAACATACTGAGGAAGAATAATTCCAGATTTCTACATGCTTATCACATATGAAGCAACATACTGAGGAAGAATAATTCCAGATTTCTACATGCTTATCACATATGAAGCAACATATACTGAGGAAGAATAATTCCAGATTTATACATGCTTATCACATGTGAAGCAACATGTACATAGGAAGAATGATTCATTTCTAACTCTACATGCTTATCACATGTGAAGCAACATGTACATAGGAAGAATAATTTATTTCTAAATCTACATGCTAATCACATGTGAAGCAACATGTACATAGGAAGAATAATCATTTCTAGCTCTACATGCTTATCACATTTGAAGCAACATGTACATAGGAAGAATAATCATTTCTTGCTCTACATGCTTATCATATGTGAGGCAACATGTACATAAGAAGAATAATCTTTTCTAACTCTACATGCTTATCACATGTGAAGCAAAATATACATAGGAAGAATAATTCCAGATTTCTACATGCTTATACATGTAATGTTATAGGAAGTAGGAAGGGTAAATCCAACATGCAAATTATAATATGGCTGGTAACTTAACTCAAATTATGGTACCACAAGATTGTTTTGTTTGATTGAATAATATGCAAACAGTGCAATTTATGTTCCTTTAAAGGCACAACATTTTTTATTTACATGTACTTTTATAATCTGTGCACCTTTCACCAATAATTAGCTGGACTTGAAGGTGCTATGTATCTTAAATTCACTTCAGCAAATTGTATTGAGTTTGTATTTTAACCTTTTCCAGATTGTAAAACCTTGTTCTGAAAGCTTTATTTTGTAATTATTATTCATTTGCTGCTCAATGAATTTCACCAAAGTGAAAACCTACAACATGTGTGGGATTTGTATGTGTAAAGCAGGAAATGTTCTGTCGTTTATCTGGTTCATCTGTTGGAATTTTTTTTAATTTCCTAATTTTAAAAATTGAATAGGAAATAAAATTTTAAAAAATCTGAATTTTTGCCAACATTATTAGTAGACATGACATAATTTGTTCAACATTTCATTTCTGAGGATTAGTCTTGGTAAAAACTAGTCAGTGGTGTTCTTTATGAGGTCGTTGAGCAGATGTGCTGTTAGAAAGAACTTCTAGAACCTTTTGATGTATCAAAAATGCCTTAGTTCTGAAGTGAGAGGTATTAATGGTAAATAAAGAAGTTTGCTTTTTGGCTCATTCAAGAAAAAAAAATGTTCAGACTATGACAAAATAATTGCAGCTCTTCCGCCAAAACACTCTGGTGCAAAGTATGGTTAGTTGTCCTGTTAATTAGTGAGATGTGTGCTTATTTACAAACTATAGATTTGGCATTTAGTGCCTAACTGAAGATGCAAAATTTACTTTCACAGGGGGCCATGTCTGCTCTTGTCTTTTATACGAGAGACAGTTGATTAATTAGTCCCCGTTCAGACGCAGTTCGAAAACGGGGACTTATGTTTTGACCTCTGTGTGTTTGTGTGTGCGTGTGTCCAGTCCTGTATCTTAGAAATGCCTGGACCAATCACAATCAAACTTCACACATCCATCATACATATAGTATACATATGCACGTCAATTTGTTTCACAATCTGATTTAAGATGGTCGAATGGCGGCCATTTTTGTGCTAACAAATCCTAAAAATCAAGCATTTCTCAGCTGTTTACAGGTGGATTTTGTTCAAACTTGGTATATACATTGGACATTATGGGACCTTGATGCAAATGTGGTTCTCGTGCCATATCTCAGACTTGTTTTGACTGATTATATTCAAATTTTAAATATTCGTTATACATCATGTCATTGATAAACAAATATATTGGTTTGACAATCCTATTCAAAATGGCCAAATGGTGGTCATTTTTGTGCTAACAAATCATCAAATATCAAGCATTTCTGGCATTTATGGATGGATTTCGTTCAGACTTGGTACATACATTAGACATTACGGGTTCCTGATGCACGTCATTTTATTTTTCAGATTGGATTCAATATGGCTGTTTTAATGATTGGGCTTCTAGAGCCATTTCTCTTAAATGCTTTGACTGATTGTATTCAAAATGGCTGATTTTGAATGCTGTTCCAGAGCAATATCTCTCAATATGGACAAGTACTTATTTGACGATCAGATACAAATGTTAAACAATCATCATAATCATATTCCTGACATGTTTATATTCCAGCTACATGTATATTACTATAAACAAAACTGTATATCTTAAATTTGATAACTAATGGGGACTGTGCCATGCATGGCTTGTTGATTAATGTCATGATCCGCTTGTCTTGCATAGTTGAATTACACATCATTTGAAACTTAACCGGGATGACGCATCTGTCATGAGCATCACGGCTAACATCATCAGAATAAAAAGTACCCCTTCTCTTTAGTACACAACAGTACATGCATTAATTTGACAGAAAAAATATGCCATGCTCACTGTTGTCAAATGTTTCATGTTTTGTTTTGTTTTTTTTGCTAAATGTTAAAGTAAGAAAGTCCCAAGCAATGATTAACAACACACGCTAAAAACACAAAGGGTAGACACTTATTTGTAAACAATGACGCAAACATTATGGCTTATTTTTGCTAAAATTTGTGTTATTTCCAATATTTTTCTCGAATTTAGTTCTGACACTAAATAGCTGTTTACAAATAACAAGTCTCAGTCTCTCGGTTATATATAAATCCCTTCTGGTAAACAAAATAGATTTCAAAACATTCTCTTCTTTGGGATGAATTAATTATTGCACATATATACATATATACATAATAAACAGACAAAGTTGCTCTGAATTAATTCAAAAATTATTTAATAGACCATTAAATTCACATATGTAATAGATCTTACCGAAATCCCTGAAAAACTGATATTGTGCATCTCGTCATGCACGAAATAGTACTATTTTGACCATATCAATTAATCAATCATGCATATTCAAATCCAGGAACAATGAAACCACAATTGTTTGCACATACTGGTGAAGATCAGTTCCTAAAACCACATAGCATAGTGGCACTAATAATATCAAAGTGTAAACCACACAGTGAACTTAAAGAGCGGTAGTGGTCGTGCTGCTCATGCGACATTAGTGTTGATAAACAAATAGTTTCCCACAATCCAGTGCACTTTTCTAATGAAATCCTGAGTATGAGTTTTGACCTGGGCGTCACTTGCATGAAGCATCACCAGAGACTTATTTGATACATCCCAATCACTAAAAAAAATGCCAAATTAAAGCTTGATAACCACTCAGTTTGTACGCGTTGGTGTGCACAACAGTCAAAGTCGCCATCTTTGTTTATATGAGACTCATGCATGGCGTGACAACCACAGCCCTTTAAGATGAGACCTATTTTGAGAGAAAGGTCTGATATATACCCGGTATATATAGGCTATTTGAATCTGGTATAAAAATACTGATTATATGTTTGTAGTTTTGTTCACTAATGATGCAAACATACTGTCATTCTTTGCCAGTAAATTGGATGGGGTATCATATTCTAACAGTTTACCATCACTCAGTACCAATACAATGTCTGAGTTTAAAATAGTGGTTACACGGTGCTGTGAAAAAAAAAAACACAAGTATGGCATAGATGATGTGAATATTATTACATATACAAATATCTATGAAATCACAATAAAATGATTTATGGTCTAAATATACTATAATTGTACAGGAATTAAAAATTACTAGATGTTGAATGCATGGGATTACTTACAGCAATAGTCAGGACTGTTTTATCCGCAAAAGCTTCACTGATTACGTTTTGCAAAATAACATCCTGAGGATAAAAAAATAAACAAGTTTTGTTAAGGCTGCGCCAAGTATGGGCTAAATTTAGGGTAATCGCACATGTTTGTATAATTGGCTAGACCCAATTGTTTCCATGCACGGAAGGAAAAGTGGTTAGCGCGGGCTAAGGAACGCCCAAACCTGTTAAGAATATATATACCAGTATATGTTTTTAACTTGTATTACTCAGTACAGTACCCAGGTACACATGTAAAGTATACATGTTAGTTCTATGGGTATAAATTAATAATATGAACCCAATCCAGAAAGTGAGATGGTTAAGAACAGTATAAAGTACAGAGGATCGACAAGGGGTATTTTCGTAAGCTGTAATCAATTGTTTTTATTTTCGTAAGAATGTAATTTAAATAAATAAAAAACTTAATTTCATGAACATGGGCAAGGTGTGAAGCGTAATCAGCTATTATTCATCTGTAACTCGTACAAGGATCTTATTTCCGTTGTAAGCGTATAAGGCATTTTCCACATTGCAATTGTCCTTTTGAATCCCTGTGTTAACGCGAAAAATCTTCAGTTAGCAATTGTATAGTTTAGTTGATTCTTGTATATAATGTGGATTGTTCAATGAAAATAGACGCTCTGCTTGTAGTACATAGTGTCTTTGTCATCACGAAACGATGGAAACTCCAACTATTAGGCCAAAAAAAAACAAATTTATGTTGCCCTCAAGTCGGGAAAAATTGGGTCGGTCGGTGGGATTTTTTTTTTTTTTTTTTAAACTCGTGAAAACTAAGAGTGTCCTTAATTGCCGAGGTATATGGACTTCATAGTATTCGGAACATGTCAGAGAAATACAGATCAACCCGAGGATCAAAGTCACCACTTATCCTCTGGGGATCAAACAACGGTCCGGGATCGTTAATTTTTAGAGAAAACATTTTTTACTACTTAAAATGCTGAGTTTTTAATATTTGGGCCTATTTAAAAAAATAAATAAAATAAAAAAACGCGACCTGATATTTCATATTTTGCGGTCAGTCGCTGAGGGCAACAAAACATTTTTTTGGCCTTATTGAGTGTTGATATTTCAACGGCGGAGGACTAAGTTGTTACGTATATCGTATCACACACGTTTTATATTTTATCGATTAATTATTTGTTTATTTATACTTACTAATAGCTCGTACGTTGCAAGCACATCGTATTATTTATTTAATAATTTAATATTGCACGTATTAATTCCTGGCTTGATTCGTGCGTGCGGGTAACACATACCCAGAAGATTTGTGGCAGCAGAAGAATTGTTGCACTTCAATGCATGCAAGAAAACTGAAATGCATGAGAATAATCATGGTGGACAGCAGTTGAACGGGTTGAACATAGGATTATTCATTGTGTGATATTGTTTGATTCTTTAACACAAATTATCAAATATATTAAAAAACTTTAAAATGTAATCAAGAATTGTTTTACGTGTAAAGTGTAAAAACCATTTGTTTACTGTAAATGGAACTTTCATTTCATTTCCTCCAAATATATAAAATGCCTTTTCTTTAACCTGTACAAGCGACCCCTCCCCCCCTCCATGATCATACAGAGACGGGCTAACGTTTTTTACCACTTGCTCGTGCAAACGCAACTATACAAAGCGATCAGTATGAATACATAATCCAAAAACCATCTGCGGTGCACACATGCTTACAGTGTCGTGTGCTTTTATGTGTGTAATGTGCCTGTCACGTAGTTTATATTTCTGCCACGCATAGGTAATGGTAACTGGGTAGGTCAAGCATGAATTATTAGAATACAGTCTGTATAT